ACAGCAACAGATACTGGGACATTGTAAGGAAAGCGCACAATTATTTTTCCCCGGACGGGAATCAAACTCGGGGTTGCGCCGTGGAAAACGAGCAAGCTAATTAACATACCAACGAGGGCACGCTTTCGGAACAATATATAATAAAATTGCAAAAGGGGTAAATTAAACATAAAAAGTTAGTTTAATAACAAAACTAATAGATAACTTGAACTACATATAGTACATCATTGCTGAACATGATACTCTTAAAAACGTATTGGGTTAGACTTGATACCCCTATCATTCTCCCAGAGGTGAATGATTGCTGGAGGTTCGAAGCTCCTGAAACCAGAGGAATATTCGATGGCTGTATCACTGATGCTTCCATCCGGTATATATCCTTGACCCCTTTTCCCTAAATGAATATCAAACAAATGAAGTTATTTGAGTATGCTGATATAAGCACAATGGAAAACGTCATCCAAAGTGAAACACTTGAAGAATGAATAAAGAATATTTAATTTATTTTTATACGTCAATGACGTATTTCTCAGCACTGGTAACTAGAGAAACTTACATTATTCTAATCAAGCTTTGGCTAGAGCCGAAATTTTAATTTCTCACTGCGAAGTAGAGAGAAAGTAGTGTAATGCTACGTGTAAAAAAGCGAATTTTCGGCAGATAAAGTCTTGTTACAGGTCCCTTGTAACAAAAATGTGGATAATCCAGTTGCTAAATTTAGAAAAAAATCTCTAACACCAAGTGTAGCCGGAATCTCTGTTTTGTGAGTTCTAGACACCGAAAAATCGAATGAAGGTAAAACGTCCTATTGTCTGCTTGTCCGTCAGTCCGTTTGTGTCTCTCCGTCTGTGAACAACGCTACCGGCTAAATCGTTCAGCCGATTTTCTCCAAATTTGATATGCCTCAAACCAATCTGACAGATGCCGCGGCCCCTTGAATTTGAAACCGATCTTTTAATTTTCGGGGGTATTTAACATGAAGCCCCATGAACATTTTCCAAATTAAAAAAAAAGATCTTCATCGTTTTTTTAAATTAAATTTTGTTGTAGGGTAGTATGAAGATCGTTTGAGAGAATGGGGCAGGTCTCATTTTCGTTGAAAACTGATTATTCTAAAACTGCTTAAAATTTCTATTTTTTTTCTGTTTCCTCTACAACTACCAATTATGAATATAATATATATATATATATATATATAGTACTAATATACTATATAAATATATATATATATATATATATTTCCATTAATGAAATCTCTTCCTTAAAGATATGTTTTGAAACAAGGTCATGTACAATGTTTCGAAAATTCGAGTCCTTTTCGCGTAATTTTGCGTGAAAATACGAGCGAGAAACTACGTGCACCACTAGCTCTGCCTTGCACTCACCCGCCTCGTCCGGCCCCCGCCATCTCGCAGTCCTATTCGGCCCTCGGGCCCTCCACGACGGCTGTCACGGAAGCGGCAGGCGCCGCGCGCGTGCGATCTCTCCGCCACCGCCCACACGTGCTGCGCCCCGCCCTCCGCAGCCGTCGCGACGACGAGGCAGGCGCTGCTGTTGTTGCTGCTTCAGCCGCTGCAGTCGATCGCTCGGGGCCCCTTTGCCGCCCCGCCCCGCGCCGCTCAAAACACTGGGAGCCGCCCCCACGCGCGTGACGCCAGACACGCCCCCTCGTGACGCGGGGCGGCCCCGTCGACGCCGTCCGAGGAGGTGTCGCGCGTCACGTGCCGTCGTTTTTGTTTTGACATTTGCTAATGGGTCTCTTTGGCGGTTCCTTAAATCGCCTAAGGGATACAGCAATATGTAGGGATACAGCAGAAGGGAAATATACGCACATATGTAAAAGTATTTGGTAATATATTTAATTAAAAAATGAAAATACGCGAAATTGTGTAATGTAATGTGTACGTTTAAAAATAAATAAAAAGTGTAATGTGGAAAATATGTTTACAGCAAAAAATATACAGAAATCATATAAATTGTTACAAGCGACAAACATCAAGTCAAGGGCTTAATTTTGAACACTCGTTTCTTAGGAAAATAGTGACAGATGCAGTTAATGTACATTTCACAAAATAAAAATGTGGGTATTGCAACAAAAATATGATTTCCTCTCAATTCAAGATAAATTACTCTTAACTCAACTCGTTTGCGCCGTGTGTACGCATAGGCGCTCGGCGAATGCACCTTTCATTTCGACTGATACTGCCGATGGCAGGTCTTAGCGTGCTTCTCGAGCGACTTTGTACGAGACAGGCGAGCGGCTACGCTGATCCGTTTCTATAGCAACGTAAACAAACTCTCGGAATCCCATTCATTGCTTCAGAGCAGGTCATAGCAAGTTGCGAGGGAACTAACAGAGTCGCTTATACGCTGACGACTATCGATGCCTCTACAACACTACACAAAATGTGGGCTGCTCCAAACAAAGCAATGTCTTGCTCTCCCCAGTCTTTTGAATGGCCTGGAAATTTAGCCAAGTTCTTTCACAAATTTTGCGGAACAAATCTCTGCGCATTACGCCCCACGTTCGGCTAATCATCGATTTTCCAATCTCTGTGCTTATAAGACTTTTCTCCCTCCTTGATTACGACGTTTTGATTATTATTATATTATTATATTATTATTATTATTATTAATTATTAATAATATAATAATTTTATTGTTGTTAATTCGTCTTATACGTTTGAAGCTATAAATTTGAAGACATTCCGCTCGCCGTGCGTGTTGTCGTTCACCATTTTCTGGCGGAAAGTGACTCCATCCTGTGGAACCGTTCCCCATTGCCCCCCGATAAAGGATAGTAGATTAAAAAGGCAAAATATGCCAGTCTTAAAATCCTGTTTCATATTTAATATGTTAAGGATGACCCCATCATGTTGTCTGTGCAAGCAAAGCTCGAGTTGACATCCTCAAACGACATTGCGCACAGCTTGTAACGAGATCTGCGCCCAAATCCCTGAAATGTTATAGTTATTTACATTCAACACAAATAACAGACGCTATTGAAGTTTGTAAACCGAGGTGATAGCCGAGTTTTGTGACCAACCACGTCTGTTATTTGTGTTATTAGCGTGTGTCGTTCAATACTTTTCGTAATACCACATTCTTCCTAGAAAAATAATATAAATATTTTTTTTGCTTTTAATTCGTAGGTGTACAACACCATTATCCATTTCAATTCCATTCTTCGATTGTCAGATGCGGAATTCTGTCCTTTCGATATAATTATTGAAACGCGGTAGTATTGTTTCTACACACATTTAAACATGTATGTTCCACATTTTAATATTCCAGACGATGATTTAGAAATTGCAAGTGGTGCAAGTTTCAAATTGTTACACGTTGGGGACAAAATTCTCAATGTTGAAACTATGTTTACTAGTGAACGAGAATGTTGACATCTCAAGATTAGTATTCCACATTTTTCATTTTTACGTTTCAGTTAACAAACTAGTAAATGACATCTGAATTCATTTTACTGATTCAGAAAACATTGCTAGTCGTATACGGTGGCGATCTGCTCTCGCTGAAAGATCTTGGAGGTTAGGATTCCTTGTCTGTAGTCGAAAAATATATTGAACAATCGGCATCGAAATGAATTAAAATTTCTAAACACGTATTCAGCAGTCAGCCTCGACGAGGTTGCGACGACGAGGTCAAGTACGACGACGACGACGGTACCTTCGATATTTTTAAGGAGGACTATAAATTAGCAATAGTAATTTTTCATTCAATATTCAGATTTACTATAAAGAGATAAGTTAAAAATAACAATACTTTAATTTAACTGATGAACATTACTTTTGTATACCATTTCTCTTCTTTGTCTATGTTTCTTTTGTTGTTTGTGATTTGTTATCGAAGTTAAATAGTTTGAATACCGTGGTTCCGGCGGATGTGAAATCATAACGACCGGCGGCCGTTAATTTTACCTTTCCATACCTCTGTTGGGCTATGTTATGCAGCTACATTTTAGAACAGTATTAAGAAAAATATTATTTGATTCAACAATTTCTGGACTTGTGACTTTAATAATAATGTTTTCTTGAATTATTTATGACATACTTTTCAATACATGCATTTTGTGTGTGTCTTTACACATGCTGAAGTTTTTGGTTTTTGTACCATTTACTTTAAAATCATATTTGAAATTTGCTCTTTTTTGGTAAAAAGTTTGTACTATAGCATTTTTTGACAAAAATGTACACTTAAAATTTTTAGGTCTAGTTAATTTCATCTCAATTTATAGTGCCTATTTAAGAAATTATTACATCTATTTCTAATTTCTCACTTTACTACGTACTTGCGAAGTAAAGAAAAAGTCTTGTAATGCCGTAGAAAATCAGTAGTTGTTTATACATTATTTAATAAAAATAAAAGTATACTTGCCCAAGATTTTTTATAATATATTAAAAAACTACGTAATTTATAATAATTAGAATATAATTTTTAAATATATCATTATATAATTCTAACTATAAAATTTTCTAATTGGTCTCACCAATAAAAAGGTGACACCCGGGTAGGACCACATGAAAATTAGATATACGCATGAGCATAAACATACACGCTAGGGGTACATAAAACTTCAATATTTTTAAAATGTTCTCAATTTTTTTCCTAAAAAATGGCTCCTATTTTTTCTTTACATTTTTGCTCCTTACGGTAAATGATGCTAAAAAATGCATGTATTTCATTTTCATCAAACTTTCTGAATTTTCCAAAATTTTAAAATTTATAAATAATTTGAGGAAGTATATGCTGTTAAGCACCACCTGTGTTTTGTAGGGTCCTTTTTTAGGCACATGAAATGGGAGGTTTTAGAACCTAAAGCTTCGAAGTCTAATATTAGAACTCTTGTGTTCTCATTTTCGTATGCTTTTCTACTTGTAATCCAAGTGGATAAAAATAATTTTGAGTCATACATATCTGAAGATAGAAATATTCTCACAACACAATGAAAATGACTTGACATTTTCAACTGAGAAACATTTTCGCGCGAAATGCTTGGAATCACGTTCAGAGAATAAAGCGAGTACGATTATATTATCCATAGAATAATATATCCGATAACAACGTGGTCTCCACGCTTCTGTTCTGCATGGTCTGCATGCTCGTACCTGCTTGTGCTTGTGTACACTCCATATAAGCTCCATCGTTCTTGTTTGGTCCCGTTTGGTCCGGTGTTTATTCGCAAAAGTTAAGATCGGCGGATACCTATCTATGTGGTATTTCCAATAGCAACATTATTGCATCTTTGAAGAATAATGCGTCGCAAATAATCGTGTGATTGAACTTACCACTGTGTAGTACAAAAATCTTTCTCGTGTTTTGGTGTACGCATGGTTAATGTAATTATGTGTTCTCTCTCAGATTATGCTTGCAAGTATTTCAAGGCGCTTTGTTAGTGAATAATTTGAGGCTATTACGGTCTAAAAAGAGGTAGTCATGGCAGTAACAGGAACAGAATCGCGTAAATCCAAAAAATCAAAACATAAAAAATCGCCAAGTAAAACCGTAAGTTATAATAGTGTAAGTGGTAGTGCACCTGAGGAACAAGATGAATCAGAGACAGATTTGAATAAGTCCTTGTTCAAACTCCCACATCACCATAGGACAGTGTCAAAATCACAAACTACTAATGGTGATGTTTCTGATTCTGAGACTGATTTAGACAAGCCCCCCAAAAGGACCACATTTCATAAATCTGTGCAAGAAATTCAAAATACCAATAATAATGCCCAGTCAGCTATGGAAAGATCTGATGATGAAGAAAGTGGTGATGAACAACTGAGCATGAGCTTGTTACAATTGCGACCAGCAAAAATTGTTTCTGAGAAGAGATCTAATCAAAGCAATGCCAACTCTCCAAAGTCTGGCCACAACAGCTTGTCTGCAAGTAAGTTTTTGGGTAAAAGTTACTACACCATCCTCAAAGAAAATGCATGTTTTCAGATATGTTATTTCCAAAATTACCCTGGTGGTAAGGACAAAAAAGTGATAAGAATGACATAAATAATAATAATAATATATATGCCACATAAATACAGCATAAGTCATGTATTTCAAATCAGGATATGTACATAATCTTACAATGTACAATACAGGTATTTCTAAAAAGTAAATACAATGCAGAAATTAAAATTCAATTCAATTCTCGTACTAAATATAATATAATGGAATACTAATTAATTTCATCAACGGTAGTGTAAGAAAACTAAAAGTAAAAATCAATAATAATAAAAAAGAAAGAAAGGAAAGCAAGAGGAAAAAAAAATGTCTTTATAGGAGAATCATGCCTGGGTTGGATTTATCCTTTATATTCAACAACCATTTTGGGGGATTTCAAAACCTGCTATAGAATATGCAAAAAATATTAGTACTAGTTTATATTGATGTAGATACATATTTATGATGTATATTTTCTTTTGTACTGTACAATGTATGGTTTAACGGGAAAGCTTTCAGTTTATTTTTGAATGTGTGTAAGGAGTTTAAGCTTTTAAATTTGCTAGGAAGTTTGTTATATAGTGTAAGACCTTCTATAAGGGTACTTTTTGGAAAGTGAAATTTCTCTGTGTGGACTGTGGGACATGCCAATTTCTTTTTTGTCAAGTATCATAGTTATGAACTTCTGTGTTTAGCAGAATCCTTGTTTCCCCATAAGTGTCTTCTTTGTGTAGATTAATATTTCAAATATGTTCATGCATAGAGTGATAGTATTTGTAATTTCTTGAACAGTGGTTTGCAGGACTCAAGTTTGTGAGTGTTTTGTCATTGGTCTCAATATTAATGTTTGGATGATAAAAGTGTGAATACTTTCTAGGGAATTTCCACATCATGATTCCGTATTTTAGGTGCGAGTGAAGATTTGCAAAGTACACTGTTCACAGTGTATCTAGGTTAGAATTTGACTTAACATTGTATATGGCATAACATGTCTTGGTAAGCTTGTTTATATCTGTTATATGGGAGTTTGATTTTAGATCATCTTAAATAGTCAATCCAAGGAAAGTTGTTTTTTGGGCAGTTTTTACATGTATGTGTTTGTCATCAAGTGTGCTGAAGGCGTATCTTTAGAGAGTAGATTGTGAAAGTTTAGGGAGACGGTTTTATTGGTGTTTATGGTGAGTTTATTTTCATAAAACCATTTTACTAGTGTCTCTAGGACTGATTGTGCTTCTTTTTGTACTGTTTGATGGGTATTTGCTTTAATAATGTTTGTTTCATCTGCAAATAGGACCATTTGTAGGGCCAGGGGTATGTCATTGATGTATAAGAGAAATAGTGTAGGGCCTAGGATTGATTCTTGTGGCACTCCATAATTTGTCACTCTTCGTTAGAAAAAATGGGTAGATATCTTTTTATCTCTAACATGCTTGAGTGTGACTACTTGACAACTATTTGAAAGGTAAGATTTTACCCATTGATGTGCAATGCCTCTTAATTTCCAAAGTTTCAAAGTTGAATAACAGTATGTGATGGTCAATAATGTCAAATGCTTTTGATAAATCTAGAATCAAATCCATGGGGATTTCTTTCTGATCTAGAGCAAGCTAGAGCTAGAGCTTCTGTCAAGTATGTCATTAAGAAAGGTGAAGATAGCTGATCTACCATTTCTGAATTCATGTTAGGCTTCTTTCAAAATGTTATTTGAATTGAGAAAATTTTTAAGTCTTATTATTAAAAAGCTTTTCTAGAATTTTTGAAAATTCAGGTAATAAGATATTGGTCTGTAATTCATGAGATCATGAGGGTTGCCTTTTTCGAATAATGGCTTAACCTTTGCTTTTTTGAGATTTTCTGGGAAGATACCTGTAATTAAGGATTGGTTACAAATGTGAGTGAGCGGTTCTATCGTGTTTGTTGCAGTATGTTTGGATGATATGGATATTTGACGGCATATTTATATTTTTTAAACAGTTACAGTAAATTAATTATTCTCCAATTTCTGAGAAATGTCTATTGAATGTGTTTGCTACTACTTGTGGGTTGCGCAGAACATTATTTTTGTAGTGTACTTCAATGTTCTTAGTATTTCTGTTTTCTGCTTTTAGAATATTTTTCACAATGTTTCACATTGCTTTTGTTTTGTTTTGTGCTTTGGCAATGCGTTGACCATTCCTGAACAGTTTGGCTTGTTTAATTACTTTCTTCAAGTTACTTTTGTATGTTTTGAAATAAGCAGAGAAATCACAACTACATTCGTGGTGAAAGATTGTATTGTGCATGATTTGTTTCCTTTCACTGGATGTTTGATTTCTTTTGGAATCCTGATTTGTGGTTTTTGCTCTTTATTTTCTTCAGCGGAAAAATATTGTTGAAATAACTTTGGAATTTGTTTATGAATGTTAAATTATGAAATAATAAGAAACATCATTGGTGTGTAAAAAAGCAACTCGTCTCAAAACTGAAATTTACTCATAAAATAATCTTTTTTGAGGAAAGTGAAATAAATTTGGAAACTAAGCCTATTTTTATTAAAACAAATTTCATAAAGAGAGTTTATGAAACTGTCAGTTCAGTAGAAAAAATCACACTTAACCTTCAGTTACGAAATAGCTTTACTCAGGATATAAAACTATTTTCCTACAAAATAAATAAGTTTGAGATATTGCTTCTCTTATGCTTCAGCAATATGTAAAAAATCATGTATTTTGAAGTTTCTCGGATTAACTCATTAATATTTTATTTCATTACAATTTTGCCTTGTGTTCAATTTTCTTCATTCAAATATTAAGACTCTATTTGTGTTTTATTGTTTGAATAAAACTGGTATTATGAATATTTTGTTCTAGGTGGTTCTTTAAAGAGTAAAGTTCATCGAAAACCAAGTGCACCTGAGATGTCAGAATCAGAATCAGATTCAGATAAAGAAACTAACCACCATCATCTTTCTCAACCTCAAAGACCTCCTTCTCAACCAGAATCTGGATCTGAAGAGGAAGAGGAAGAGGATGAACATCAAAATGAACAGAACTTAGAAAGTCATAATCGTCATCATCAACCACCACAACAGCAGTTTGTTTCTACTCTGAATCCTTCGGCGAGAATTAAAGAAGAAGTCCATTCTAATTCAGAGTCGTCTTCCTTTGAAGAAGATGATCCACCTGCTTTACAGGAATTTCAAAACACCTCACTTCGTGAGGAATCAAGAAGAATTAGTTCACAAAGTACATCTACACCTCAAAATCCCAGAGGTGGTGTAATAAACAGGAATCATTCGAGTAACATTGCCACATTTGAGCAAGAGCACACTCGAATATCAGCACCTGTTATTGACATCCCTCAAGATAGTAGAGTCTGGGTTTTGCAAGTTCCTCGCAGCATTGAAGCAATACATTTGCATGGACGGTATTTACCAAAGAAACTCAAGGTAAAGCGGACATATGTTTTTAGAATATTTCCTAATATAAATCTCTGAAAACTTTAAATCTTTGCTTTTGGGAGCGAAGTTCCATTCATTTATTGTCAAATATTAAGTTACCAAGTAAAGCCTATTCTTTAACATTAAATGTGTCAACAAATCTGGGAACCAGATATCTAAAAATGTAGTTGACGTAACTTTTCTGAATGTAAATTTGATCTGTTTATTTGAATGGTCCCATTTTCAAGTTCTTAACAAATAGGCGAGTGTCAAGTAGAATATATAACTTTCTGGAAAAGTGTAAATGAATTTATTAAAAGAAGATAATTGTAAATTACATTTTCTTTGTAGGAAAAAATATTGTTTTATAAAAATGATAAGTTGGAATTTCCATGCAAGTTTCTCCTTAAACTAATAATCTGTTTTACGAGTGTTAATTTGTGAATTTGCCAAAAAATGAAGTACATTTTCTGATTATTATTACAGTAAAACCTCGTTAATATGATTTCAAGGGGGTGGAAATAATCTGTTAACATTATAAAAAATTGTGTTATTTGATTATGAATTTCCTTGCCAGGCCTCAAATTTTGTTTCTGTAACAGTACAATATAAGTGGGTGAGGGTTTACTTTAATTTGCTAGAAATATAAGGAAATTCCAATTTTTGAAGGTCTTGAAGAAACTTGAATCTTGTAGCTAAAGATTAGCAATTTGTGTTATTTGTCACTCAAATATTTGTCATTACAAGACATTCAATAGCCGCTTTTCTATGTGTTTATATTTTCTCATTGGAAATACATATTATTATTGTTATTATTCTTATTCTTATTACCACCACTTATCGTCCTTTGTTATAAGTCCTAATTTTTTAAAAGAAAACTTGCAATGAGTTATATACCTTTGTGTGAGAGAAATAACGATTTACTTGCAATTTTTTAAAAATAACTTTGACTGACTAACTATGAAAAAGTAATGCAAGATGTATATTGAAGAGTTTTGAGTACTATTACATGATTTTAATAAATGATCAATTCATTTACTCCAGAAATTAACCTAGTAACCCTACCTTTTTTGGTGTGTAATGAAACTGCAATGTGTGTTTCCTTAAATGTTAATAGTTTTGTTTTGCAGGGTGGTGAAGTTTTAAATCTACCAAGTGGTAGCTGGCAAATTATGGAACAACCATATGAAGCTTCAAGGAGTGCATTAAATTGTATAGTGTCTACTGGTAATTTCAGTTATGGAATGCGTTGGTTACAACCAAGAGGGTTTTGGTTCTTTAAGCGTTTGAGAAAACCTCTTCAAATGGAAACTACTGATGCACCATGGACACAAGAAATTACTCCATTACCTATTAAGGTAAATAGCATTGTTGTTTTTACAAAAAAATGCTCTAATAAACTTCATTAGAAGTATGTGATTTGACAATAGTAATGTGTTGTTGTAAAGGGGAGAAAAATAAGGGCCAAAATTATGAACGAAGGGTTATGTAAGCAACAAGTTGTTGTTTAAATTAAGTAGCCCTAATAAGCCAATATTATACATATTACAGCACTCTGCACATAATTAAAACACAGAAGAAAAAATTGTATTAAATTTCAATACCTTACTACAACAAACAATAAAATGGAGGTAAATACACATGATTTTGTATAGCATAGGTGGCTTTCATGACCATAGTCAATATAAGAGAAAGTTTTTCGGCTGATAGGCGATGGTCCAGTTGGCATTGAAGGGTCAAGCGTTTCATCCACGACTACGGAGGACATCTTCAGCGGCAGCAGGGTCGTGCGCACAGTTCCGGGGCAGAGAGGCAGTCGCCAGTCAGCTGCCGTCCCAGATACTGCACCCCTGCCCATCAGGAGGATGACCACAGTGGTCGTGGGCTTAATGACCCTTCAATACCATCTAGGCCATGTCCTACCAACTTGGAAACTTTCTCTAATATACACATGTTTGGTAGCCGTTGTAATACAAGTCCCCTTTTTGGCATTATACCTCAAACCACCACAATATTTGCTTGCAGTAAGCAGTGTTGGAAAGAAATGAAACTGACCTAGCGTTTACTATGTGAAGCAAAAAATGTATTTTAAGTAACACAGTCCATTAATGAGGTGAAAACAAACAACAGAAACAGTGCCCAGATCTGGTTAACAAAAAAATGAATGATTCCCATACAATGTTAGCCCACACATTGCTTGTTACACTGATCAAATTCTTATCACAATGTTGTTCTAGACATACCAACAAAAAAGAGAAATGGAAAATCTAATTCTCCATGAAATAAATATACTAAGAGAACTGAGAGCCGGAGAAAATTGTATCTCTAAATTAACCAGAATTCGGATTACATACTGTATATAAAATGGCCATTAAAATATATACGTGGAGTGGTCGGAAACTTGGGTACAACATGATATACTGATGTAAACATACATAATTCTGTTAAAAAAGTTTTATAAAAAAAGAAAGAAAAATGTAGATATTATTTAATTCAATGATCTTTAGTATGTAGAATTTTCTTATTTTGGAATTCGAGAAGGGAATTAAGCAAAACCATTTTTTGCACTTTAAAATTTAGGAAGAAATGTTTTAAAGTAACTATATATTGATATGTTTAGGAATTACTGAAGATGAAAAGCAATGCAGCCATTTCTAAAGATCAACATTTAAAACCTTCGAAAAAGCGACATCGAAATTCAGATCTTGATCTGCCAAGTAAACAGTCAAAGATGATTCCAAAAGTAAGTAATGTCATGGCTCAGTAGTACTATGTTATTGTATATCATATTGAATGCTTTTTCTTCTTTTGTTTATCTTCTCCTTTTCCTTCTGCTCATCTCTTCCTGCTTTTTCTTTTCTTCATCCTTTTTTTCCACCTACTACTCCCCCTTCTCTTCTTTTCCCTCCTCTTCTGTAATAATTATTATGTTTATTTACTAGCAGAACCCAGTTGTTCTGCCCTTATCTCCCTTCCTCTCTTTGTTAGTCTTCCCTTTCCCTCTTCGTTATAGGATGTTCAAAACGTCTCATCCTGTAGATTATGGCGTGAGAAACTTTTTGTATGCTATTGGCCTCAACATATTAGTTTTTAATGACCTTAAGCCCTTTAATCTTTTCTGGTCAATCAAGAAAGAAACATACTGTTAAAAAACTTGTGATTGTATCTATTTAATAAAATCTACTCATAATAAATGTAAGAAGTAGGTACTTATGAAACAAATGTTTCAAAGAATATATATAATGTTTAGGAATCTTTAGGGATATCATTGTAAAAACCAAAACTAACTTTGGCCATGGGCAGTGTCTGTGATGTGTTTAAATGTCATGCTTATAGAATAAGTATTTTTTAAGTTAAATCGGTTCTAACAGATGGGTTTACGATAAATTTTATTTGATACTACGTTGTACTAATAATAGCCTGAGTAACATGCGCATATTCGTCTCATCATTTGACTCTCAAGTTAGCACATTTCTGCAAGAATTCAACTATTTTTGAGCAGATGCTCATACATGAGTCGCAGACTACCCTCAGTTCAACCATCAACGCTGTGCAATGGTGCTGCCCCACCGTTGTGTCTCTGTTCTATCAGCACTATTAGCACCTAGTTGATCTCGTGCAGCAATCGCCCTTTCGCTGTCATCTCCCAGCTCAGCGTTACTTCACAATACGATGTTCTCCAGCTTGTCCTGTCCGACACCACCCCGTGTCGCACGGCAACGTCCAGCAACAATGAAGCTTATGTGGATGGGAGTTTGAATGGAAATTGAATTAAAATAAAAACCAGCAAAAATGTAATAGAATATTCAAGAAGATCTCATCCTGTAGATTATGGTGTCAGAGAAGTTTCTTTGAGGCCTATAGCCTCAATAATTTAATTTTTAATACCCTAGAATGCTTCGTTTGAGAGTTATTAACAATATGAAGTAAAAAACCATGCCTTGTGTTGCAGGTTGCATTTAGCATGAATATGTTTTTCCTTTTTCTTTTCTTTCGAGAAGTTTTCCAATATTTTAATAGTTATTCTGCTATTTGGGGCAGAAATGAATCAAACAAATCACAGATAATTAAATTTGGTTCTGCTGTTTTTGAGTTATAAATGGTGTAACTACGTTTTATAGATTTTTGAGAGTGTTAAATGCTTTGGAAATATTTTTTCAATTGTTTCTTTTCAAATTTTGTATTTTTGAGGCACACACAAAAAAATAGAATCTGCTCAATTATGATTCATAATTATGTATAATTATTATTGTTGTATCATTTTAATATTAATTATTACTTATTATATTATTTTATTATTATTATTATTTCTCTTCATCATGACTAAAAATATTATGAGCCGGTTAAATATAAAATCTACACCAGGTTGCAACCACATTCCTGAGGAGCAGATCTAGGGACTGTCAGTGTCTCAACAATTCTTTGTGCAAAATAGGCTGTTCCAAATAAAGCAATGTCTTGAATTTTCCAGTCTTTTGAATGACCTGAGAGTTTTGCCAAATTCTTCTACAAATTCGAAATATGTGGAACAAATCCCAGAGGATCAGTTACTACTGTGCTTTAACCCTCCACAATTGACTGATATAAATTTCCAAACTCTTGTATTTAAGAAGGTACTTTGTCTACTTGACTATGACATTTTGATCACGCTGCACAGCCTCATTAAAAAATGGATCCATTTTTTCTCTCTAAATCTAGGATAACAATATCTGGTTCATTAACCACTATTGTGTGATCAGTTTGAATTTGTTGGTTGTGCAATATTGTACACAGTCCAATGGATGTCACCAGTTATGATGAGATATTTCATACTACGTGGAGGATGTGTTAGGAACTTCAAGGGCATTACAGATCTACTCACCCTATCGTGTCTTTTCATATATTTGGCCTTTGCTAGAAGTGGACAAGTTGAGACAATATGATCAATGGTTTCTATTTGTTCCTGGCAGATGCGGTATTTACCATCTTGGAAAATTTTGAGAACTGCTTTTTCATAGTCGTGTTTTCAATGTTTAATGTAGGGCAGCTATTAAAACTTGTTCTCATTCTGGCTTCATTCTTGCCCTTTCAAGCCACATAAATAATTGATCTTTATTGATCTGCAACTTATAAATTCATTTTGGCTATTCTGTGTGTCTTGCACTCTTTTCTTCACAATGCTTTTTGCTACACTTGACAATGCCTGAATTTCCCATTGTTGTTAAAGTTTTGGAGAAAAGGAAGCAACACCCACATTTTTATTTTATTTTTTACTCTATTTATTTATTTCCTCATTGTATACCACATATTAAAAATTCAGAAAAATGAGAAGTGGTCTCCTTGCAACCTAATCTCTTAACTGAATTGGTTGTATAACAATGTTTGTTTATTTAATGTTGTAGAAGAATGCCCATTGGAATGTGAAAATAAAAATGTATTTAGAGGTCTTAAAGGGATTCACTGCCAATATATTGCAACATTGTTTTTATTATTCCCAAAATTTGAACATTATTATGCTAATATTTTCCTCCACATGTGGTCTGGAAGGATTTTGAAATGTGTTATTATGATTTACTTCTTCTTTGAATGCAGGGTGTTGGTATAATTCATCAACTTTTCGTGGAAAGGAAAAGGAAGGTGCAACTCTTTGATAACTCTACCAGTATTATGGATATAGAACCATCAATGATGGTGAGTGTTAAAGGAGGAAAATGTG